GGGTTGGTATGCTATGACGTGCGCTCTGGGTTTTTCGACTGACGGAGGGAGCAGTAAGGCGAAATGTGTGAAAACGCATTCATATTCTAATGAAATTCATATTGTAATGAGTTGCTTGTGTACAATTTCAGGGAGGAAGGAGGATACTGAAAGTCCCCGCCCAAAACATGTGTCGCACAGAGGGGATAGGATCGGGAATGCGATATCGGCAGCGTCAGCCCCTTTCTCCAGAAGAAACTTCCGACCGTGCCTCCCTCCCTCCCTACAAGCATGACGGCATGTATGCAACACGCCCACCGATACGCGAAACTCGTTACTTCTTTTTGAGATTCCTTACCGCTTTTCTTTGGTGGGTGTGAGGAGTGGGTACCACCACCAGCTGAAGAAGGGCAGAAATCTTCAACTTTTTCCCATAAATTTATGCCCATATCGATTTCCCAGTGACCTGAACCCGACCTCTCCTCCCCAAAGATGACCTGCACTCGTTGCATAGGGGCGCACCCTAACGTATATACCTACGAGCTTGATCGTGCTTCAGCAGGATCAAGCTATTTGCTAAACTTCGCTGCCGCTTAGGAGGGGCGTTTTTACCTTTCTTGTTATAGTTTATGTTGATTAGCAGGTCACATTTTAAAGAAACTTGTAAATTCCTGTGAACCTGTGAAGGACACAATAGCCTTGGTTGAAGGAATTTAGAGGAATTTAGAAGGCCAAAAATAACTTTGGTATGTACCATTTGCTGCCCCATGCGGGCGACCTTTTAAGAACTAGGATTCAGAACCTATCGGTTTTCCTACCTAGTAACGCTGGTTCTGTCGAAAAATTGGAATCAAGGGAGAGCGGGTTCCCACTTTAAAGATGTAGTACTACGAATCATACAGTGTAGAGTGGAACATTATTTACTGTTATGTTACTATTACCTTTTTAAAATATAATGCATATAGAGTATGATAGTCTTCAGTCCTACCATACAGATGCCTCAAGTCTCCTAATTTATCGCCCTATTAAGCAGTACATGAAAACAAGAATCAGTACTCTAACAATAACAACAGGGCCGCTATAGGAAAAACTCACTGCTAAACACAAAGCACGATTTTTACCTCATACGAAGCTAGCGCTGTGGCTTTATGCGATCATATGCAGCTTCTTTTTTCAAGTAACGGAAAAAAAGAAGCGAGAGAAAGTTCACAAGAAAATAATCAATAGTCTTATTAGCAAAACTCACACTCCTCATTGTCCTTCTTGGTAGTGCTTTTCTTTTTCTTACTTCTTTTCTGATTTTTTCTTTGAAGAGGAGATGACCTTCGAAGATTTAGAGTCCACTTTCATCCTGAAGTGATAAAATAGGCGATTCAGCGCAGTAGCAAAAAAGCCTAAAAACTGAAGTACATCTGCTGTCATGTCATCACTCTCTCGCTGCCGCTTAGGAGGGGCGTTTTTACCTTTCTTGTTATAGTTCATGTTGATTAGCAGGTCACATTTTAAAGAGACTTGTAAATTCCTGTGAACCTGTGAAGACACATAAGCCACTTTGGTTGAAGGAATTTAGAGGAATTTAGAAGGCCAAAAATAACTTTGGTATGTACCATTTGCTGCCCCATGCGGGCGACCTTTTAAGAACTAGGATTCAGAACCTATCGGTTTTCCTACCTAGTAACGCTGGTTCTGTCGAAAAATTGGAATCAAGGGAGAGCGGGTTCCCACTTTAAAGATGTAGTACTACGAATCATACAGTGTAGAGTGGAACATTATTTACTGTTATGTTACTATTACCTTTTAAAATTATATATATAGAGTATGATAGTTTCACCTATACAGATGCCTCAGTCTCCTAGATTTTACCCCCTTAAGCAGCCACCATAAAACAATAGTCAGTACTAACAATAACAAAAGGAGCTATAGGAAAACCACTGCTAAACAACAAGCACGATTTTAGCAACGAAGCTAGCGCTGTGGCTTTATACGATCATAATGCAGCTTCTTTTTTCAAGTAACGGAAAAAAAGAAGCGAGAGAAAGTTCGCGAGAAAATAATCAATAGTCTTATTAGCAAAACTCACACTCCTCATTGTCCTTCTTGGTAGTGCTTTTCTTTTTCTTAGCCTTCTTTTTCTGATTTTTCTTCGAAGAGGCGAGGACCTTCGAAGATTTAGAGTCCACTTTCATCCTGAAGTGATAAAATAGTCGATTCAGCGCAGTAGCAAAAACCCTAAAAACAGAAGTACATCTGCTGTCATGTCATCTTGATTGTGCCCTGTGTAATTGCAGAATTCTTAAATATCAGACCGTGGGCGATCAGTCATAATCCTTCTGCCCTTTTCGTCTCCAGTCACCCTACTTTCTCAAGAATAGACGAAGGATCGACATGTACTCGTTCCCGCAAATGTCTTCGTAGTGTCTGTTAGAAGACAAGTGAGATATGAAGGTCCGCTATGCAATAGGTGAGGTTCGGTCTCCCGTTTTTGGTTTTTGTTAGGTTTGTGTAAGTTTGGAAGTTCTCTGCCAGGTTTCCTCCTCATTTTGTTGAGTTTTCAGCGATATCAAGTTTCGCTGCCAATGAGGAGTTGATTGAACACGCGGCCACCAAGAAGGCTCCATGCTGTTTCCTCCATCTTATCGCTGGAGATCGGCTTTGTGTGTACGCTGAAAAAGATGGTGAGAAATGTTTTTTTTTGTGTGAAACCTTTCTTTAACATTTATTAATATCGCGTTCATATTAAAACGAACTGAGGACGCAAAAAGTTAGGAATTGCGGGCCCTAAACATTAACTCGATCCCTTGCATGAGTTAGAGACGCTAGTACAATATGGGCACGCCAATATGTGTTCTGCTAAGATCTCAGGATATTCCAGGTCTTAGGTATCTGTTAACCGCTGAGCTTACTTTTTTTTCTCAGTTCCTGTTCCCGTTTTCCTTCCTTCTTTCTATCTTCCTCTTCCTCATTCTCCTTTCTTCAAAAGCTCGGGAGAAGATGAAACGAAAAAAAATGCCTGTAGACTCTCCCCCCAGCGAAAGACATTCAGCTTACAAATGCCCATCTCATGTGAGGGCGTGTTCAGACTTGTCTCGCTTCAATGCGCGTTGAAGCGCGATAAGTCTGAACGCTGCCTAAGGGGGATGGTCCATTAACACCGTAGGTCATTCCTCTAGGCTTAGGCAAAGATTTATCCCCAGCGATAAATCCAGTCCTGCATTCGCATAGCGATAGACAATCCATGTCTTTCGCTGGGGGGAGGGTCTACAAGCATGAAGAATCGAGGAAAGGTGTGCAAAAGGTCTGCTGTAAAGCGATTTTCTCGTCATTGATGTGTCGTAAAAAATCATGTGACGTCGTGGCATTTCCTAACGCGAGAACTGTTTGGCTGCGGGCCTACCGACTAGCGCCAAGAAAGATGTAGTCCAATTTTTGTCCCCAGGCAGCCCCGCGGCTTTTTTTTTCTAAACCGTTATGTGCACCTCCGCAGTGGTACTACCGCCAGTTATGGCTAGGCGGTGAGGGTAAGTCCAGGCCATCAACATCTATGAGTGAAGTTCAAGAAGAAGTACCCTCAGTCCCGTGCGGCCACCGCCCTTCCTGGCAGAGAGGGCAAAGGCAGAGGGGGAAATCTTGTTTTTTTTTCTCTCACGAGAAGCGATCTGCCAAACAGTTTCCTAAACATTGGAACAATAAACGCTCGAGGTCTCGTTAACGACTATGTGATCGATCAGCTAGTATCTGAAATGGACAGGTGTGCGATTGACGTAGCATGTGTCCAAGAAACGTTAAGAAGCAATGCAGGAAGATGGAGTTGGCACACTGGACATGAAGTGATCTTAGGAGCTGGCTCAAGCAACGGAAAAGTCGGAGGAGTCGGATTCATAGTATCGCCCACCGGTCTTCATCAAGCGATTGCCTATTTGCCGATGATAGTGTCTGCAATAAGATTATTGCGATCCTAATGCTCGAACTAGGCAAAAAGAAGACGATGAAAATACTGTCGGTCTATGCCCCCACCGGTGCATACGAAGATGAAGCCGTGGAAGAGTTCTACGACGCGCTCGAAAACGCAATTGCCACTACTCCAAAAGGAGCATATGTGATATGCGCTGGAGACTTCAATGCCCACTTAGGATGCGGAGAACCTGATGAATCCTATATAGGGCCATACGGAATACCTGGAAGAAACAGCAGAGGAGAGGCTTTAGCACAATTCACCGAACGAAGTCGATTATCAGTGGCAAACTCATATTTCCAAAAGCGTGTAGGACGTCGCTGGACATACCATACCCCGAACAGGCAGATGTTCCACGAAATCGACTTCTTCTTAACCAACTGCTTGCGCCTCTTTCACAACGTTACAGTGATCGGAGAATCGCATTTTAATATTGGATCGGACCACCGTTTAGTTCGAGCCACAGTAGCAATAAAGCTCAGAGAAGAAAGGAGACGATTAGCTGCATACTATTCGCAACGTGCTCAATATGTGCTCTCTGAAGAACGACTAAAAGCGCTCGCTTCCACGACAAACTTTTCTTCAGAACAGGGAAATGTTCACAGCAGATACGAAAAGTTGATTTCTACTATTCGGGATGTAGTTAAAAATGCTTCAGAGCGCGTTCGAAGCAGACCTCGGGAACGATTAAGTGCTACTACGCTGCAAATGTTGGCCACTCGGAAGGAATTGGGAAAAACTATGACTCCTGTGGCTAGAACTATATTAAACAAGGCTATACGCTATAGAGTGAAGAAAGAATATCGTGAATATGCGCAACGTAAAGCAAGAGAAGCAGCTGAAAAATGCACGAGCATCAAAAGAACATTCATCAACACTCGACTCAAAACCATTACCCCTGAATATCTCACAAAAGAAGATGGCTCTGTTGTCAGGAATAAAAAAGGAATGGAAGGAGAAATTCGAAACTTTTTCCAAGACCTCTTCTCCACAAAAGTGCTGGTGCAACCTAACATGATATTTTGTGAGGATGATGATGACACACTTGCAAGAGATGAGTGGAAAGTACTTGAAACGGAAGTATTGAAGGCTATTCAACAGACGAAAGGAGGAAGAGCGCCTGGACCAGATCGAATTCTGGCAGAACACCTGAAATGTCTGAAGGAGTTCATTGCCCGCCCTTTGGCAGACATTTTCACAGAAATGCTGGCGTCGGGAACTGTACCAAAGGAATGGCTGGGTTCGAATACCATTTTGATCCACAAAAAAGGACCGCGTGATATACTGGCCAACTATCGTCCTATAGCGCTCCTGTCCACAATACTCAAAATCTTCTCACGTATCATCCTCAACCGCATAAGTGGAACACTCAATATAAATACGAGAAGAGAACAAGCCGGATTTCGTGAAGGCTTTTCAACCATCGATCAGATACATGTGATTTCTCAACTTGCGGAAAGATGTCGAGAGTACCGAATCCCGCTATGTTATCTTTTTGTTGACTTCAAAAAGGCATTTGATACGGTCGAACACCAAGCGGTACTAAACGCACTTGCCACGTTCGGAATTTCAAGAAGATATATTGAAATAATACGACAATGTAACACGAGCTGCTACACTGACATAAAATTGCTCAAAGAACCAGTTCGTGTAAAGATCCAACGTGGCGTACGGCAAGGCGAGGTCATCTCTCCAAAACTATTCTCTGCAGCTTTAGAACTTGTAATGCGGCAAATCGAGCTGCCTTGTGGCATTGAGATAGATGGCGAAAGACTTCAATACTTGATGTTTGCAGACGACATAGTCTTGATTGGAAGCGAACCGAGTGCACTCGAAAGCTCCCTGAATATTTTGAGCGAAGCCTCCCAATCCATTGGACTTGTAATACATCCAGGAAAAACCAAATGGATGAAAAACAACTATACAAATGACTATCGTTTATGCATGAAAGGATCAGTCATTGAGGAAGTCTCATCGTTCACGTATCTTGGCCAAGCAATAACGATGGATAATGATCTTACAGGAGAAATCAGCCGGCGTCGAAAGGCGGGATGGGCCACATTTAACAAATACCGAGATGTTCTCACCGATAGACGGATTGAAACTCAAATAAGATCTCAGGTGTTCAACACCCATGTTCTACCAGCACTGGTATATGGAAGTGAGACATGGAGCACAATCAAAGATGAGGAGAGAAGACTAGCTGCTACGCAAAGGGCAATGGAGCGAGCAATGTGTCGAGTAACACTAATGCACAAGATCCCTGCTCGCGAAATCCGAAGACGGACGGGCGTAAAGGATGTTATCGAAACCATTTATGACTCGAAAAAGAGATGGGCTGGACACGTAGCTCGTCTTGACGATAACCGATGGACATATCGCGTAACCAACTGGTATCCTCGTGGTGTAAAAAGGCCACAGGGAAGACCCCAGCCAGGTGGAGTGATCCTTTTAAGAAACTATATGGACAGAGATGGCAACAAATGGCAAGAAATCGTGATGAATGGCATAGATGTGTCCTGCAAGGATGGCGCAACCAACCTTGAAGAGCGGACATCAAGGTATTCAAGGTATGTGCACCTCCGGGCGGAGACAGACACCAATGTGTTAAAGACAGCCCCCCCCCCCGCACAAGTAGTCCATGGTCGTCCTTCCTTGTGCAGGTAGTTCAGCCCCAAGCTAGATGCTATCCCACTCTCGCAACTCCACAGTGAGCGAGGAGCGAGCTACAGCCGCTCAAAGTTCTAGTTCTAACGCCCGCTCAGTTGGACCGCCTCACTTGCTAGTATCCTTTTCTTTGAATTGGATGTTGTCCACTACTGGGAAATGCCATAAAGCGATTTGTGAGCCAGGGGTTGCCCACGGACCGCAGGGCGGTGTAACTGTAAGGGAGCAATTTTGTTTGTGTTCTTGAGGGCTCTTGTTGCTTTTTTCCTTCATTGAGGAATTACTTATCAGCTACTGTTTCATAATTGATCAGCAATTATCCTTGACACTTTTATCGCGGGAGCTGTCTTTAAACGCCCAACGCTTTCCCACCTTTGCTAGCAGCCATTTGCTTGCGACTTTGCTCCCTCCGTCTGCGATGGCAGCACCTCGTGGAATGGCTAACAGGAAGTCGTTACAGTTCGGTTTGAGTGGCCATTGAATGGTACTCAGCCAAACCTGTGCAGGTCGAATTCGCAGACCTGTAAATACTTGTAACTGATGTGGCTCGATTGTACTATATCGCAGCTACAGAAAAGTATACAGGTCTCACCTCAATGAGACTGTTAGTAAACATGATTTAACAAAATGAATACTGAGTGTGCTGTGTGCCCTTCTCAAGCCGAACAGCGCCTGGAAGTGTCATATAGCAGTAAGGGGTGTTATCGCAGCAAAAACATTGAATTACATCGGCACTTTAGCACCGTTCCATCGTTTTTGTTTTTTCTTCCACTTTTCCCCATCACCTCCCCTATCATACCCTCCACTCATTTTGTGGACCGACAGCAAGGCGACACACGAACTAGCTACTTGTAGGATAGAATGATGTCGCTGAACCGGATAGCATTTAACACAATACTTTCTTAGTAATTAACGCTGTTCATCGGCATCAGGCCATGCCAAGCCTTCCACCCTCAAGGGGCGAGAAATAGATGACAGGGTCGTCTGGCAAAGTAATAACGCTGACTTGTACATCGACTGGCCCTCGCAAGTCATTGTATAGGCCACATCGCATTCAATAAGCCACTACGATTCTGAATGGAAGTAGAATGCGTGCCGCATTTCAGGAAGGATTGGATCAGCGGCGAAGACTTCACTTTTTTTATACTTTCACCCTGTCCATTGCTTATTTTGCAAACATTTCTTGCTTCCTCTCAGCGAATGCTAGAGAGCCACAAAATTCAAACGAACTTAGTGTGCAAACTGCAGTTCTTATCCAGTTCTCAGGCAATTTGTGAGAGAACGTTTGCAAGGGTTTTGTTTGGAAATTGCGTGGAAGAAGATGAGTGGGTCAGTTTCAAACTTCAGTGATCATCCAAGGAGAAGAGGGTGTGTCCTGTCGAAAAGTGTGGATTGCTCAATACAGCCACCCACCTGGGTCAGATTCGCAAATCGAGAGTTCTGATTTCACATAACCCAGATGGTCTGTTTCATCGTTACCCATGCTTATGTTAGTCCCTCCCTCCTCCTCCCCCAAATGAAAAATCCAAAAAAATGAAAACGGGTCAACGGGCCCCACTCAATTGGAGAATCGTGAATCAGTCGATATGTAACTTACCATTTCGGTCCTCGGGATTTTCACATTGTTCCGATTTCAGTTCCATCTCGGTTCTCCGATTGTAAAATTGTCCAGTTCCACAGAAAGGGCCCTATGGTTTCATATGGAAAACTGCTTCTTTTTAATTTTTGTACTACTGCTCCTAGAAGTGGAACTTATAGATATCACGTAATCGGGCGATTGTCAGAACAAAGCTTCGTTCCAGGATGGGCCGTTGGATCACGGGTTGGATCAAGAGCAGATGCTGGGCTCTTTCCTGTCATTGCTGTTATGTTCGTGAATAGACATTCACAAACTGATCCTACCGCCGAAGGAGCTAATATCGTGGAGGAGATTAGTCAAGTGGCCCAAACGTGGTGGCGGAAAATCAAGGCAAACTTTTTTGTTCTCATAGGTTTACCTTGGACTGTTCTCATGTTCAAATGAATTCAGGAAATCTACATGAAACATTCCGAAATGCATTATTTCCACGAAGTCCTTGATTTTATTGACTATATGCTCTCGGTGAGGCAAAAAATTCTGTCAGGTTCGTGATATTCCTCCAGTAATGCTGCCCTCTCTCCACGTTTCTATCACTGCAACGCCCAGTTTCCTGAGGGAGGCGATGTAGCAGTGTAGTGGCGCCTAGCGCCGCTTGCACGTCGACTCTTGACCGAATCCCTCCCAAATTGGCTTGGTCCTTCAAGATGCCCTCCATCCTTCCTGGAACGGGGATCGCTTCCAGACTCGTACTTAGAAACAAAAAAGGTGGCATTGTTTGTCCTCCTTCAGTCCTTATATGGGCTCAGGATGCTAGGAGTTCGAAGTATGCGCGGCGCGCATCCAGGGATGGGTTGATCAACATTGAAAATTTTACCTCTCCTAATCTTTGAAAAGCGACTTCCAGGTGGCGTTCCTTCGGAAGAGCTCAACGCTTTGCGGATTCAGCTCGCCAAGAAAATTGATCGTGGCAATATGTGAGCTTTACCCCTTATTTGTGCATTCTTTACGGGGATTCAAGCATTAATCCTTCAGGTTATTCTCTAGTGACGTGGTGAAATGGTACGTTTTTAGCCAATCCCTCCGCTCTTCCAGGTTACTTAGCTTAAATGTCACGATTCGGGATGAGCACGGTCTAGCGTTTGATCCTGACTCCATCTCTTTCCTACAGACGTATGCGGAACATCAAAATGCGCAGAAACGTGTTGCCCTGGATTCTTCCAAGGTTAGTCATGCTACGTGCGATATTTTAATGGTGACTCAGGTGATGCTTCAATTTCTTTCTCGGCCCAAAACCGTGTTTCTCACGTTTTTCCAGGCCGATGGAAACGAAAAAGCTATGAAGGCATTCTGTGTCTTGCTACGGGTTCAAAGCATAGAACTACAAATGAAACATAATTGCGAAATTAGTATGGTACTATACGATTTCGAGAACAAACGACATGTCAGGTTGGTTCTCAGCAAATCGTTTACGCCATTTCCTCCAGCTGCTTATTGCTTTGTGAGTGCTGGTGTATGGTCGCGAGTGTAGCAGAGGTACGTTACCAATTCATACTGTACTTCTCATGTCTGCGGATGGTACCCTCCGTTTGCGAGGTGAATGAGCCCGCAGCTGCTGGAGCCCAGTGACACCCAGGTGCCGTCTCTATACTTGGTCCGCACAAAAGGTTCACCTTGAGCGTCGATACCAAAATTCCCGCGAACATGGAGTCAGAGGTAGAGAAAAACCTCAAGTGAGGGGCCGCAGACAGGTGCGGGGGCAGTTCTCCGACGGGGCATTTTGCATGCATGTTTGCTACTTCCCATGGCCGTGTCCACCCATTTTGGGAACTATTTCATGACCTTACGCGAGTTGACAGGTTTTACCAGTGGCTCAACGAGCTCGCTCCAGCTTTACAGGAGTTCGCAGGTCATCAGAGCGAGACCAAACTAGTGAATTAGCGAAAGTGAAAAATGCCCCCTCGTCGCCGACTGCACCAAGTTGCGGGTTTGGCCATGGTTAGACCTGTGGCTGGCCGTGCGCTACTGCAGATGCGGACCATTTCACATCGCACATAGATAGGGCCGCCTTCGGAGGCGACTGACCAGCTTGTATTCAATGGCAAAGGCCACGATTAGATATTCAAGTAGTGGGGCTCACATCGCAATGCCAAAATGATAGGAAAGTCAATGGTGGAAAAAAAAGAGAACTAGTCGCAAAAGCCTCAACAAAATCCCCTAGCAAGCACACATATGCGGTTATGGTCCCTGTGATTAATCTCGGCTTGACAACAATGTCCTTGTCTATATTACTGGGTGGGTAAGGCCAATAAGAGGAACGACGGCATCATTGGCCTCCTCACTCTCTTTCTCGCCGCGAAACGGTGAACTGACTGCCTCTGCAGACTAGCCCATCCGCTCGAAGAGAGAAATCTCAACTGATCGAGACGCATTAACTTTCAAGCGGTAACTTCATCTAACACGACAACATAAAGAGATCTCCTTGTTGTATCGTGGTCAATGACGTCCCAATAAGCATCACTAAGGTGTTATTTGGACTCAGGTATACGTTATTTGCCTCTTCTCAGGTAATGTGAAGGATCACGCACTTTACATTCATCAGAACCGATATATCTTACTCGGCTGCTCTTTTTTTATATTGTCTGCTTGTTTTTCAGCGATACCTTCTCTTTTATTTGGAAAAGCAACGAAACGAATTCACGAAATCTCAGTATCAGTGGGTTGTTTGCGGTAGGTGTCTTTCCAGCAATCGTCCGGATTTGAGGAGCGTTTCTGGAATTAGTCGTTTCAGAACTTCAACCAAAGTGATATTGGCAGACGTCTGGTTTTGATTACCCGTGTAGCCCATATAGCTCCTGTCGAACATACGTCATCCACGTTGAAGAGAAATCAGGAACCCGGGCCAACCAGCCTTTACTGTCGCCAAGGTACGTAGGCTTCGTTCTCTGCTTTTCAGTCCCTCACCTGCGATTAGAGTGCCCTGAAGTGTTTCTTTTTCTCAGTCTATGCACTATTTGATTTTTAGTTTTCGCGTTTGATTTCTTCGACATGTCTCCACTGTTCGCTAATCCTCAACCATCTCATGACGCTAAGGATAAGGTTATCTTCTTCAATAAGTGAGATTTTTTTTAATAATCTGTTTTTGTTCGTATACTCTGAGAAAATTGTTGATGATGAGTTATTTACAGAGATCAGAACTTCGATCAGTCGCTAAAGTCCCTCCAGACAACATCCAAGGTTCCAAAGCTCAGTACGTCGTCAGGTAAGAAAATCGAGGCTTCAGAACATTAGCGGCGCGGAGGCGCGAAATTAGTTGCGCCGCAAGGTCCCTCAACCATGACAGCGCTCATTCTCGGTTACTTTTTGCTTGACAATTTTGTTTCTTCACAGACTACCCCAAAACGGATTCTGATTGCAACTTCATAGTTTACTCGATGGTTTTTACAGTTCCCACTGACTGATGTTTAGATGATGCCAAAATACTAGTCTCGACCCAAGTGTTCACCAGTGGATTGTCAGAACTTAAACTGCGCAAACCGTACCTTTTCACAAGGAATCCTCCCACGATTGTTTCGCGTTGTGACTACGCAGGAACTTCATCCGGTAAAGCGTTTTGGATTGGCATCAGTCGCTTCCGTATTTATATGATGTTTTTGTTCAAGCACTATTGATCATATAGGCGATGTGCGCAATGAGCTCTATGTGACATTGGTGCAAGGAGAATTTTCTGGCAAGTCATCTGATCGGAATATCGAAGCTCGTATGCACCTAGTGGAGGGAAATGGGCGAATTATTCCTAATGTGAGTGTTTTATTTTCCTGAAGTTCTGTCATGAGAAATTGCTGAAGCGTGTACTTCGATTGTGCACCCAAATGAAATGCGGAGTCCAGTTGGTTCCTAGCGGAGACAGGGAGCAACCTCCTGGCTTTTTTGTTTATAATATAATATTACATTACAATTGCGCGCTAGTGAAAAAGGCAGAGCGCCTCTCTGTCTCCACCCATCCGGTTATCGCGGAGAGTGGCCTGAAGACGAAGTAGGGTTCTGAAGATGATGATGATGATATTATTATGCTTTCCAGTGCTTTGAGACTGTATCTACTGCGTCCATGAAACTGACTTCCGAGTACCGAACTTATGTTTTCTTTCACGAAGATAAACCACACTGGTTTGAGAATGTTAAGGTATGTCCCATATCATCAGTAAAAGGATAAAAGGATAAAGTCTTCGCCGTTGATCAATCCCTTTGTGGGATGCGGCACGCATTCTACTTCCATTCAGAATCGTAGTGGCTTATTGAATGCGATGTGGCCTATACAATGACTTGCGGTGGCCAGCCGATGTACAAGTCAGTGTTTTATCCTCCCAGACGAATCTGGTACCAATTACCGTCCCCGGAGGGTAGAAGGCTTGGTTGGCCTGGGCGGGAGTCGACCCGGGATTTGAACCCGGCGCCGCGCGAGTGGTAAGCGCGCCACTTGTCACTACACCACCTCCGCCCCATATCATCAGTAACTATCGGATTTTTTTCCACATTCAGGGGGTGTTTTTGATGTCGTTCCCCTAACCTTCTTAATGTAGGTCGAGATTATTCCGTATCTGGTCATCTTCCAAGTGTGCGTTCATACTTTGCGTCAATGTTTTGAGGGTACGCAGCAGGGGCTGGAAAAGGACAGGTATCGAATCAGCTGAAAATGCTGCTTGAGGCCCTTAGAAAGAGTATGAACGCACCCTAGGCTGAGCCACAGTCAGAAATATATGTCGGTGGAAGGGACCAGGCGAGCACTTTATTGTGCCGCCGTGTGCGCCTCTCCCCTTCAACTATGTTAGTTCCGAAAGTCCTATATTGTTGTGTTAGTTTAATCATGCTGACAAAGCTTACCTTTCTTTTGAGCTTTCCTTTTTCAAATTATTGGACCGAATCAGGAACTAGAATTTGGAATTTTGTACTATATTTCCTCCTCATCATTTTGCATTTTACTTGGGCTGCTGACTGCTGACTCTCTCTTTCCCTCAAGATTCAGACTGGTGCTTATACCCATATTCGATATTAAGATCCATTTACCTGAAGACATCAGTCGTGATCTCCATCTTCGTATCACATTCCATTCAAGAAAGCCGTACGATAAAGGGAAGCCTGAGAAGGGACCGTTCGCACTAGCCCATATTCGTCTTATGTGCAAATCAGTGCTTGTTCCTGATGGCGACCATGAACTGCTGGTTTACAAGGCGAGCTATTTTTCTATTTTTCTTCGGCAATCCGTTCTGCGCTTGAGCTTCCGCCGGCTCGATGAGCCAATAATTTTCTTTCATTTCTTTGATTTCTGAGCTTTCAGATTGAGTCATCGCATTATGATGACAATAATACAAGCTACTTACCTCTACCTCAAACTAAGAGGTGAGTCTCGTATGTTTATATTTTTCGAATTGACCGGAAGGCACACCTCGCGTTAAACAGTGGTGAGTTGTGCGGTCCATATACTAATGACAGGATGGTAATTACCACACTGAAAAAAAGCGGGAAAAACTGCCGTGAATGCCATATATAGACCCCCCCCCCACTAAACCGCGCTTGTGCGTGCATAAGGCGAAGAAGGGGCGTCGTTGGAAGAGTTCTAATTTGTTGGTGGCAGCTCATCCTCCTTATCACCTCGCTCTCACCATTCGAAATGAGGAGAACCAATAGCGGAACAACCATGCCATCCAGTAGGTTTCTCAAATGAAAACTGGGCTTTCTCTGGCCATTGGATGGGACCGTGACCTTCTCGCGAACGGGCCACGCTTTCTTCTTGTATTTTTGAGCTGCGAAAGTAATGTTTCCTCCATGATTGCGGACAAGGCTAACATGTCTAAAGAAAGCGGCATCACATGAACGCGGAGCGTGCCTATCCAAATTTACGAAGCTCATTGTAAGCTCGTCACAAATTTCTCCTTTTAATATTAGGTTGGCTGGGAATAATGTGAGCATCTATACATTAGGAAGTGGTCTTTCTAT